CGGTTGACGGTGTTTGTCTATATAGATGACGGTGTTTGTCTATATAGATGACGGAGTTTGTCTGTATAGATGACGGTGTTTGTCTGTATAGACGACGGTGTTTGTCTGTAGAGATGACGGAGTTTGTCTGTATAGATGACGGTGTTTGTATAGATGACGGTTGACGGTGTTTGTCTGTATAGATGACGGTGTTTGCCTATATAGACGACGGTGTTTGTCTGTATAGATGACGGTGTTTGTATAGACGACGGTGTTTGTCTGTAAAGATGACGGTGTTTTTTCTGTATAGATGCGAGTATGTCTGTATTGACGACTTAAGAACCTTGGACCCTGATACATAGATGTATATATACTTTGTATAACTACGATGGGAACAGGTAGACGTAATCCCTGGAATATATGACAGTTTACATAACAGCGTCCTTCAGAATATAAAATGCTACCTTGTAAAAATGCATTCACTCATTTCTTTGCTGCCACAATAGATGGAATCTTTTACTCGCTATCTGACGATAAACGTGCCATGTTACATTCTTAATTTTCTATAGTAACTTAAAACCATTGCAATTTAAACTAAAATTGGACACTTCTGTAACACATTCGGCTGAAACACATTTATCTTACGTTGTGATCGTCGGGTATGTTATAATACGTTCGCGGTTTAGATTATGTTAATAAACAAATCGGGTTTCTGGCACGTTTGGAGATCACGTGATTAAAGGATCCCGGATGCAGGTACCGACATGGACAAACATTGTTCCTTTCATGAAGTAAGACTTGTATAATTGAGAGGATCGTCTCACGAAAAACAACATTTTACCTACATTCTGTTTTCCAAGGTATATATCTTATTTTCTGATATGAATGTTTCATTGTTGTTTTCATTTGTATATATAATTGTTGTTGATACGAAACTTCCTGGTTGAAATCACATGTATCAACTGTTATCAAGTTTCATGAATTCAGATTCTCAGAGTTATCAGCAGCTAAAACATACATATTTCACATTTCTACACAAGCTTCCTCAGTCAAAGAAAGGGTAGGGAGACAAAGGGAGGCGGGGGCATAGGGTAAAGTGTTGATTAATAACGCATCCTCTTTAAACTCTGACAGGCCCTGATCTTAATTTCTTAAGTAACACCAAGTGTATCGAGTAGGGATCATGTGATGGTCACAGTAAGTGAAGAAAAATGATTTTCTACTGAGTGAGCTGTAGAGGATAACAGATCTCGAATATCATAATTACTGGGTTAAAGTGATATACAGAGTTTGGAGTTTTTCTGAATACAAAGCTATTAAAATATGTAGGCATGTCAATAGTTTCCGAAATAAGAACACATCTATGAAAATCATTATTAAAAACGCACATTTAGTATTCTTTTTAACATCGACCCGTGCACATAATTAAACCAATAACTAATATGTCGAATGTACATTGTAACCCCCCCCCCCCCCACCCCCCCACCCACCCCCCACCCCACCCCCCACACTTTCTTCACACCCACACCCGCTTACCCTCTGACACATACACACATATCTCTTTTTTCCTCTCCATCATACAAAAACTCAATAGTTTCTCGCTATCCAATAAGGAGCTGAGTTTTAACGGTCGGTGATTTTGTTTACGAGCCTGGTGCGTTTTTTTTCTTCTGATCGTGTTACCATTTATCTGAATGAAAATTCCTATCGTTTATTCAAGTCACGTTCGTCCAAACAGGAAGTTGTCAATGTGTTATCTCATCATTTCTGTTTATTTGGCACTGGAAACTTTATGTGATAATTGTGATAATCCAGAAAACATGTACAAGTCATTGATCAATGCTACGGACCCTGTGACCATAGTCATACACGTCATACATCGATATATGTGTAGCACAGGTCACGTGATCATGGTCATACATCGATTAATGTGTGGTACAGGTCACGTGATCAATGTCATACATCGATATATGTGTAGCACATGTTATGTGATCATAGTCAAACATCGATAAATGTGTAGTACAGGTCACGTGATCATTGTCATACATCGATATATGTGTAGCACATGTTATGTGATCATAGTCAAACATCGATAAATGTGTAGTACAGGTCACGTGATCATAATCAAACATCGATCAATGTGTAGTAGAGGTCAAGTGATCATAGTCACACATGGATATATGTGTAATAGAGGCCACGTGATCATAGTCATACACAGAAATATGTGTACTACAGGTCACGTGATGATAGTCATACATCGATATATGTGGTGAAGTACATGCCATGTGATCATAGTTATACATCGATATATGTGTACTACAAGTCACGTGATCATAGTCATACATCGAAATTTGTGTAGTAGAGTTCACGTGATCATGGTTATACATCGATATATGTGTAATACAGGTCACGTGATCATGGTCATACTTCGATATATGTGTAGTACAAGTCACGTGATCATGGTCATACATCGATATATGTGTAGTACAGGTCACGTGATCATGGTCATACATCGATATATGTGTAGTACAGGTCACGTGATCGTAGTCATACATCGATATATGTGTAGTACAGATCGCGTGATTATGATCATACATCGATATATGTGTAGTACAGGCCACGTGATCATAGCCATACATCGATATATATGTAGTACAGATCGCGTGATCATAATCATACATCGATATATGTGTAGTAGAGGTCACGTGATCAGGGTTATACATCGATATATGTGTAGTACAGGTCACGTGATCATAATCATACATCGATATATGTGTAGTACAGATCGCGTGATTATGATCATACATCGATATATGTGTAGTACAGGTCACGTGATCAGGGTTATACATCGATATATGTGTAGAACAGATCACGTGATCATAGTCATATATCGATATATATGTAGTACAGGTCACGTGATCATGGTCATACATCGATATATATGTTGTACAGGTCACGTGATCATGGTCATACATCGATATATATGTAGTACAAGTCACGTGATCATAGTCATACATCGATATGTGTAGTAGAGGTCACGTGATCAGGGTTATACATCGATATATGTGCAGTACAGGTCACGTAATCATAATCATACATCGATATATGTGTAGTACAGATCGCGTGATTATGATCATACATCGATATATGTGTAGTACAGGTCACGTGATCGTAGTCATACATCGATATATGTGTAGTACAGATCGCGTGATTATGATCATACATCGATATATGTGTAGTACAGGCCACGTGATCATAGTCATACATCGATATATGTGTAGTACAGATCGCTCGATCATAATCATACATCGATATATGTGTAGTAGAGGTCACGTGATCAGGGTTATACATCGATATATGTGTAGTACAGGTCACGTGATCATAATCATACATCGATATATGTGTAGTACAGATCGCGTGATTATGATCATACATCAATATATGTGTAGTACAGGTCACGTGATCAGGGTTATACGTCGATATATGTGTAGAACAGGTCACGTGATCATGGTCATACATCGATATATATGTTGTACAGGTCACGTACAGGTCACGTGATCAAGTCACGTGATCATAGTCATACATCGATATATGTGTAGTACAAGTCACGTGATCATGGTCATACATCGATATATGTGTAGTACAGGTCACGTGATCATGGTCATACATCGATATATATGTAGTACAGGTCACGTGATCGTAGTCATACATCGATATATGTGTAGTACAGATCGCGTGATTATGATCATACATCGATATATGTGTAGTACAGGTCACGTGATCAAAGTCATACATCGATATATGTGTAGTACAGATCGCGTGATCATAGTCATACATCGATATATGTGTAGTAGAGGTCACGTGATCATAATCATACATCGATATATGTGTAGTACAGATCGCGTGATCATAATCATACATCGATATATGTGTAGTACAGGTCACGTGATCATGGTCATACATCGATATATGTGTAGTACAGGTCACGTGATCATGGTGATACATCGATATATGTGTAGTACAGGTCACGTGATTATGATCATACATCGATATATGTGTAGTACAGGTCACGTGATCAGGGTTATACATCGATATATGTGTAGAACAGCTCACGTGATCATAGTCATATATCGATATATATGTAGTACAGGTCACGTGATCATGGTCATACATCGATATATTTGTTGTACAGGTCACGTGATCATGGTCATACATCGATATATATGTAGTACAAGTCACGTGATCATAGTCATACATCGAAATTTGTGTAGTACAAGTCACGTGATCATAGACATACATCGATATATGTGTAGTAGAGGTCACGTGATCAGGGTTATACATCGATATATGTGCAGTACAGGTCACGTGATCATAATCATACATCGATATATGTGTAGTACAGATCGCGTGATTATGATCATACATCGATATATGTGTAGTACAGGCCACGTGATATATATGTAGTACATAGTCATACATCGATATATGTGTAGTACAGATCGTGTGATCATAATCATACATCGATATATGTGTACTACAGATCGCGTGATTATAGTACAGATCGCGTGATTATGATCATCGATATATGTGTAGTACAGTTTACGTGATCAGGGTTATACATCGATATATGTGTAGTACAGGTCACGTGATCATAGTCATATATCGATATATATGTAGTACAGGTCACGTGATCATCGTCATACATCGATATATATGTTGTACAGGTCACGTGATCATAGTCATACATCGAAATTTGTGTAGTACAGGTCGCGTGATCATAGTCATACATCGATATATGTGTAGTACAGGTCACGTGATCATGGTCATACATCGATATATGTGTAGTGCAGGTACAGTCATTTATTTTTATCATTTATGCGTTTATTTTTGTCTTGGTTGATGTTATTGTACACTTGGACGTTCCGAGTTTAAATTGCTGAAGATTTTTTGTAAATATTTATCTGATGTTTATATATATTATCTATATTTTAGATTGAGAATTTGTCTGATCTCGACACACTATGACGGACGTCTCGGATATAGCAAAGGAGACGGAAGATAAAAATACTGCCTTCCTTTGCCTTCTGTGTTTCCAACCGTATGACAATCCCAGAGAACTCCCGTGTTTTCACACATTTTGTCAGCGTTGTTTAGACGGCTATACCATGTCCAAACTACCATCGGATGAGATGTTTCCTTGTCCTGTTTGTGAGGAGCCCACATTGGAAAGATGTACCAAATCTCCCGTGACCACGTGGTCAGCTTTCCTTCCGCATGATGTGGCTCATCGACCTTCGTCTGCGGAAGTCCAGAGAGATGATGACACGGCTGTGTGTGAAGGATGTAAGAGAGATGGTGAAAAAAGTAAGGCGACCCATTGGTGCCGACACTGCACCGAAACTCTCTGCACGTCTTGTAGAATCGCGCACAGACGAAATAAAAAAACGACTGCTCACAAAATTATTGATATCAATGACGTCAGCAAAGTTGGATCGCCTACACTGTCCCCTTCGGTCCGCGAAACCTGTCCCCAACACCCGGGTAAGACCCTGGAGGTCTACTGCATCGACCATCATGCGCTGTGCTGTATCTTATGTTTGGCCGTTTCACACAGGGAATGTAAGCACATGAGGAGTGTCGAGGATGTCTCACGTGGAGCTATGGCAACGTGTGACCACATCTGGGTAAAGTTAGACGCCGAATCAAAGAAGCTGTTACAAATAGATGAGCAAGCCCTTTCTGCTTTAGAACTGGATAAAGAAAACGTGACTTTATCAATTGAAACCATGATTGATGCTGTAAGAAAGACACTAGATGAACTTCAAACGAAATTTTTAGAGGATGTTAATATTGCACATGATAAAAATCGACAGCTTTTGAAGCAACATAAACGAAACACAGAGCAATTTTACACGAATATGAAGAACACGCGACTTCTAATGTCCCTGACAGATGGGCATGTGACGCCTCGTCTGGCCTTCATAGCACGTGACCAGGCGAGCGTCCAGCTTACGAGTCATTACCAGCGTCTCAAGCATAGAACACTTCAAAGTCAAAACGTGTACAGAATGGAAATAGAAACGGATGACATTGTCGACAAGATGACTCACGCTATAAGAGCTGCAGGTGATTTCAAGGTGACATCCACGCTTTCAGACAGCACCAGAGACGCATTATCATCGGTCGGAGCGTCTCTTGAATCATTACGTAAGACACATACTTTTTCGTCATTCGCCGATTCCATTTCGTCCTCCGACATGATTGGTTCGTTGACAAGGGGCAGATTGATAGGCAGAAAAGTTAAACCTAAGACTGAAATAAGATCTGTGAAATCGCACCTGCTGACGTCAGTCCAGTCCAAAATTTTGGGAGGGAGACAGGCGATTCTGTTAACCGGCGGTGCATTTGTTGAAGACAAGTGGCTAATTATGGCAGACTGCAATAACAAAAGACTTCTTTTGTTCGACGAGGATTACAATTACCTGAAACAATATGCTATAAACGGATGTCCAACAGATGTCGCGAGAGGGTGCAAACCAAGCGAGCTGTACGTAGCAGTATACAACAAGGAAGTACTCAAATGCTCTTTTGCATCCGGGCATCTTGACATCGTCGGGAGAACGAGCTGTCCCACTTTGACATGTGGTATTGATATATTGGATGGGAAATTGGTAGTTGTAACTACGGAGACAGTCAAAGTATTGGAAATAGACGAACCGGAAATAAACCGTGCCCAGATAACGACCACCGGAGCTACGTGTATCGGGGCATGTAGTCAGCGCCACCTGTATTATCACAGGGACGACAACTCCGTAGTAGGTCGATCACTTAACGGACGTGAAGTAACTCGGTATGCTCACCCACATCTTCGCGATCCGGTGGGCATATGTTCTGATAGTTTTGGCCATGTACTTGTATGTGGCTATCAGTCCGGAAATGTTCATGAGATGGCGCCCGATGGAACAAGAGGTCGAGTTTTGGTGAAAAAACTACACCAAATCAAGCATCCATGGGCCGTTATTGTGCATCCGAGCGGACGTGAGTTTGTGGTCACTTCCTGTAAGGAAACAACAGCGTTTGAAGTGTACAGATTCATACCGGGAAAATGACGTATTTTGTTGTTCTATAAATAAGCATTTAAAAAAAATATTGGACAAATTTTTACTGACCATTCCTTTTTTTCTTTTGTGTGTTCAATGTCTAGTTCAATGAGTTGTATTGAATCGTAATGGGCATTATATAACCGACTCGTGAAGATTGTATAACAGACACAAAAGTGATCAGCAGAATTTATAATTCGATATAGTTAAGCTAAACATCGAACTAAACTATACCATATAACGGATTCGTCTTTCTTAGACTTGTCGGTGATGTTACATTATACAGCTGTTTCGTCCTTATAGGACTCGTCAGTGATGCTACATCATACAGCTGTTTCGACCTTATACGTCTCGTCAGTGATGCTACATCATACAGCTGTTTTTTTCCTTCTAGGACTCGTCAGTGATGTTACATCATACAGCTGTTTCGTCCTTCTAAGACTTGTCAGTGATGTTACATCATACAGCTGTTTCGTCCTTCTAGGACTCGTCAGTGATGCTAAGGCCAAAAGCATGAAACCTAGGAGGCGACCAAGGAAAATCTAAAGTGAAAAAAGAGAGAAAAAATAGGATTGAAATGGAGAGGTACACAAGCCCCATAGTTCAATAAAGGACAAGATAAAATATATTTTTTTTAAAATTCCGAATACTCTTGAACATATAAAATTTGAATATTCCAAACTTGAAATGTCATTGTGAAGAATTTTTTGAGATAGGGTTATTCAAAAGAAGTAAACAACGTTAAAATTATAGAATTTCAGCGTAAAGTTACAAATTGTTGACCCTACATTACGTAATATTACAAATTGTTGACATCACGTGACGTAAAGCTACAAATTGTTGACCCTACATTACGTAATATTACAAATTGTTGACACCACGTGACGTAATATTACAATATTGTTGACACTACATTACGCAATATTACAAATTGTTGACACTACATTACGTAATATTACAAATTGTTGACACCACGTGACGTAATATTACAATATTGTTGACACTACATTACGCAATATTACAAATTGTTGACACTACATTACGTAATATTACAAATTGTTGACATCACGTGACGTAAAGCTACAAATTGTTGACCCTACATTACGTAATATTACAAATTGTTGACATCACGTGACGTAAAGCTACAAATTGTTGACCCTACATTACGTAATATTACAAATTGTTGACACCACATGACGTAATATTACAATATTGTTGACACTACATTACGCAATATTACAAATTGTTGACACTACATTACGTAATATTACAAATTGTTGACACCACGTGACGTAATATTACAAATTGTTGACACTACATTACGTAATATTACAAATTGTTGACACTACATTACGTAATATTACAAATTGTTGACACCACGTGACGTAACATTACAAATTGTTGACCCTACATTACGTAATATTACAAATTGTTGACATCACGTGACGTAAAGCTACAAATTGTTGACCCTACATTACATAATATTACAAATTGTTGACACCACGTGACGTAATATTACAATATTGTTGACACTACATTACGCAATATTACAAATTGTTGACACTACATTACGTAATATTACAAATTGTTGACACCACGTGACGTAATATTACAAATTGTTGACACTACATTACGTAATATTACAAATTGTTGACACCACATGACGTAATATTACAAATTGTTGACACCACGTGACGTAATATTACAAATTGTTGACACCATATTACGTAACATTACAAATTGTTGACGCTACATTACGTAAAATTACAAATTGTTGACACCACGTGACGTAATATTACAAATTGTTGACACCATATTACGTAACATTACAAATTGTTGACGCTACATTACGTAAAATTACAAATTGTTGACACCACGTGACGTAGAATTACAAATTGTTGATACCACATGGCGTAAAATTACATGTACAACGTTAATATTTTGATATCTTCACAAGATTTTTTTTAAAGCTTAGTCACATGACAATTCATATACATGCATATTTTTGTTTTAATTGGTACTTCAGCTGGACAGATTTAATTTTTCAAGGGAAGCACAACGGCTTTAAGTTACATGTACAGTTGTATGAGCCATTCATCAGCTTGATGTTTGGAAAATCTGCGGATTCCTGACGATCTTCATTCTTTTGGATAGTCGCCGGTTCACGTGATGTGTTTTACAGAATGCATCTTACGATTGTAGAGGTTTATTGTACAATACACTTAATTAAGTTATAGACACCAGCGGATATATTGTTGAAATTACTTAAACACAACAGTGTATGAATATCTAATTTGAAATGAGACAAAATGACCAAGCGTGTTATTACTATCTGCTTAGAATACAAGGCCGAACTCTTGTCATATCATGCGGAATAAGGTTTACTTGTAGGATGTAATCAGTTCATTCCGTTAAAAAATCTTCGTTTCGAAATCTACTTTAAATATCATTTTTACCTGTAATTCATCACCAAACACAGTGCGAATCTTTAGCGACAGTCAGGCCACGTTTATCCATATTTAGTTTCGAGTCTTTGATGACAGGGCTGTGTGCAAATGTCAAGATAGTAGGGTAAATCAGCAATTTCTTGGCATTACATGAGCAAAAATAAAATAAAAAGAAAGTTTTCAATATTTTTGTTTCTTGGGGCTATGGGAGACTTACTAGCTACGAAAGCGTATAGGGTCATGGTAGACTCACAAACTATAGAAGCGTATAGGGTCATGGGAGACTCACTAGCTACGACAGCGTATAGGGTCATGGTAGACTCACTAGCTACGAAAGCGTATAGGGTCATGGAAGACTCACTAGCTACGAAAGCGTATAGGGTCATTGGAGACTCACTAGCGTATAGGGTCATGGGAGACTCACTAGCTACGAAAGCGTATAGGGTCATGGGAGACTCACTAGCTACGAAAGCGTATAGGGTCATGGTAGACTCACAAACTATAGAAGCGTATAGGGTCATGGGAGACTCACAAACTATAGAAGCGTATAGGGTCATGGGAGACTCACAAACTATAGAAGCGTATAGGGGTCATAGGAGACTAACAAGCTACAGAAGCATGTAAGTGCCATGGAAGACTTACAAGCTACGGAAGCGTATAGGGGTCATGGGAGTCCCACAAGCTATGGATGCGTATTGAGTCATGGAAGACTCTCAATCTACGGAAGCATATAAGGGCTATGGAAGACTTACAAGCTACGGAAGCGTATAGGGGTCATAGGAGTCCCACAAGCTATGGATGCGTATTGATCATGGAAGACTCTCAATCTACGGTAGCATATAGGGGCCATGGGAGACTAACAAGCTACGGAAGCGTATAGGGGCCATGGGAGACTAGCAAGCTACGGAAGCGTATATGGGTCATGGGAGACTCACAAGCTACGGAAGCGTATATGAGCCATGGAAAACCAACAAGCTATGGACTAAAAGTACATGCCCAGGCTAAAACATACATAAATACATTGTACATTAAATGTGAGTTTCTCATATTTCTAATCTCAACTGCAAAAATATTCAAAAAGCCGGAGGGCCGTAACAGCGAAATTCTCAGGACTGATTGATGTCTTGAATGGGGAAAATATCGTATAAGAACACAATCTTTTAATATACAGCGCGTCTATTCTGACAAGCTACGGAGGCGTGGTCATGGGAAGACTCACAATCTATGGAAACGTATAGGTATCATGGGAGACTCACAAGCTACGGATGCATATAGGGGCCATGGAATACTCAAACCTACGGAAGCATATAGGGGCCATAGGAGACTTACAAGCTACGGAAGCGTATATAGGCCATGAGAGACGCACAAGTTATGGGCTTAAAGTACATTCCCAAGCTAAACCATACATTTATACATTGCACATTATACTAATCGCGACTGCAAAAATATGAAAAGGCAGAAGAGCTTTAATAGCGAAAGTTAAAGCCTGTTTAACAAATGAATACATAATGCTAACTTTATATATTGGAATGTTGCTTTTTCCGATCATTGAAAAATAAAAAAAAAAAAACGTTTATCAAAACGTTTAAATTCACATTCAGATATATTGATGACGTCAAGTCTTTAGCTTTAGATAACATGAAATCTATTAACTACGTCCATCGTTTATATCAAAAACACAGACTCTTCTACATCAGCTACTTATTTCGATCTTTACCCACAACGAAACCAACACTTTACATCAAGTCGTTTGATTTCATTTCCCTTTTATGAAATCTTCCATTTCTGGATAACAATATTCCTTTATCCTCGCCCTATGATGTTTACAAATTTTACATCTATTGTTATTTTTACCTGTGTTATATAACAACTAGTGTTAAAATTGCCCTTTTTTAAAGCCTCGTCAGTTTTCTTTAGTGTACGGAATTACTTTTCATCGTCTAATGTCAGCTTTATTTTGTATTTAAACCATATTTTTTTGTCTAAAATATATTTACAGAGAATTACTGATGTCTATTATCCTAGTTTACATTCTTTTCAATACATACACACTTGGTCACTTTTGTTTATTTTTGTTTTTCATATTTATTATTATTTGTATTGTTCTGTTGGTGCTCTTAAGCTGGTATTGTACCTGGCATACGCTTTGTCATTCTACCCGGGGCGCGCGTGCACGGACTCACTTTCGTGCACTCAATACCTTACCTGTGTTTCGGTTCGGTGGACACTATTTTATTATTGTCCGCGATATTCTGAATGCGATTTTTTATATTTATCGTTGGCCCAGCGGATCTATCGACCGTTGTGTGCGTTTTCATTATTTTTACGTTTCTTTTTTCTCTTCTTCTGTCAGTAGTTATCCACCTTGCATGTATTTTGATAGCCTGCTTACACCTGAAAACATATTACAATGATGGATAGGGAAACTATCATTAAAATAATAACATGGGATGGTAAAGGGTTTTTATCCAAATTTAAACAATATGAGCTTAGTAATTTTGTATATAACTATAATATACATATTGTTCTATAAATAGTAATAATGACAGGTAACAAGACAACCCAGGCGCTGAAGTATACATTGTACTTATATTGGAAATCCTTGGACATTATGACTGAAACTTGGTAAGACCATTGCCCGAACATTGTACATACAATATGTAAAATTAAAAGAATTTTAGTGTGTAAAGTTGTGACTTTTGAAGTGTTGTTACTAAATCATTGAACAATATGACCAATCACGCGTGAAATCGTCGGTAGGCCTATGCGATCATATACCGGAAATCGATATCTCCGTGTATAGTGAGGTTACGCCAATTTGTTATACCGCTTAAACATTGGCGAAGAAGGGAAAGAAAAGGACATCGAATCCAGCGGTGTTAGAGGAAGACCACGAGAAAGACAGTGAGCAGAGCTTTGACTGTAGCGCTATATCACCAAGTAAACTCAACAGTGTTAGAAGAACAAGACAGACAGAGCCGAGACAGTGAGCAGAGCCACGAGACAGTAGCACTAGCAATCTCCAAGTAAACTCAACAGTGTTAGAAGAAGACCACGAGATAGACAGTGAGCAGAGCCGAGACAGAAGCACTAAATCTCCAAGTAAACTCAGCAGTGTTAGAGGAAGACCACGAGACAGACAGTGACCAGAGCCGAGACAGTAGCACTAAATCTCCAAGTAAACTCAGCAGTGTTAGAGGAAGACCACGAGACAGACAGTGACAGTGACCAGAGTGTTAGAGGAAGACCAGACAGAGCTTAGACAGTAGCACTAAATCTCCAAGTAAACTCAGCAGTGTTAGAGGAAGACCACGAGACAGACAGTGACCAGAGCTTAGACAGTAGCACTAAATCTCCAAGTAAACTCAGCAGTGTTAGAGGAAGACCACGAGACAGACAGTGACCAGAGCCGAGACAGTAGCACTAAATCTCCAAGTAAACTCAACAGTGTTAGAAGAAGACCACGAGACAGACAGTGAGCAGAGCCGAGACAGTAGCACTAAATCTCCAAGTAAACTCAGCAGTGTTAGAGGAAGACCACGCACTAAATCTCCAGTAAGACAGTGAGCAGAGCCGAGACAGTAGCACTAAATCTCCAAGTAAACTCAGCAGTGTTAGAGGAAGACCACGAGACAGACAGTGACCAGAGCCGAGACAGTAGCACTAAATCTCCAAGTAAGCTCAGCAGTGTTAGAGGAAGACCACGAGACAGACAGTGACCAGAGCTTAGACAGTAGCACTAAATCTCCAAGTAAACTCAGCAGTGTTAGAGGAAGACCACGAGACAGACAGTGACCAGAGCTTAGACAGTAGCACTAAATCTCCAAGTAAACTCAACAGTGTTAGAGGAAGACCACGAGACAGACAGTGACCAGAGCCGAGACAATAGCACTAAATCTCCAAGTAAGCTCAGCAGTGTTAGAGGAAGACCACGAGACAGACAGTGACCAGAGCTTAGACAGTAGCACTAAATCACCAAGTAAACTCAACAGTGTTAGAAGAAGACCACGAGACAGAAAGTGAGCAGAGCTGAGACAATAGCACTAAATCTCCAAGTAAGCTCAGCAGTGTTAGAGGAAGACCACGAGACAGACAGTGAGCAGAGCCGAGACAGTAGCACTAAATCTCCAAGTAAGCTCAGCCTGTTCTGAGAGTGATCAATGATGTGCTTTATGGAAGCCCAACACATGGTAAGACATCAGCAGATGGACACGCTACTCAGGAGCCTGTAGTGAAAAAGAAGTTGGTAATGAAAGTTTGATCAACCGAAAACTAGACTTGATAATTAGTAAATAGAAAAAAAACTTGATATGAAAAAAAAAAACCTTGAGAACGAAGTGATAAAACTACGATCTGCTGCGTCCTCAATGCACGATCGAGTGGACACCGTACAGGTAAGAGGAATTTGAAAAATCTGTAAAGTTTATGAGCCAAAGACTCGATGTGATAGAGACAAATGGAGGGAGCGAGCAAGTGAAGGAAACAATATTAAGACAACAAGAAGGAGTCCTCGATCTCAGCCGGAAGTTGGATTTCGTAAGCAGTGCTATGGAGAGCCAGCAACACGCTGTGCTCAACTTAAAATACCGATCCATGAAGTATATATTGGTTTTCATTAATCTTGGTGGCGAAACGAGAAATGAAGACACAGAGGCCTTACTACACGAATTCCTGTATCATGAGCTAGGAATTGCAAATTTGTCACTTGGAAATGTGCACCGCTATGGACGTCGCACCCACGGGAAGTCCAGACCAATTGTGGTAAGATTCTTGTACCAGCATGACCTGCAACGGATAAAGAGAAAGGCCTACTTGTTGAAAGGAACCCCTTTCGGTATCAATGAACAGTACCCAGAAGAAATAGAGTCACGTAGACGGAAATTGTATCCTGTTGTTAAACAAAAGAAACGGGAAGGAAGTTACGTAAAACTTGTTCGCGATCGGCTCTATGTAAATGGGAGCTATATGTTGATATGACGGGTAGCCCAACACAGTCTCTGCGTGAGCTACACCGTCAAATGACGTGCACGGCCAAAGAACACCCAACCAGTCAGTCCGCGCTTCCTCTTCTGCTCGGCCATGGCAGCAAAGTAATGTGTCGTACTAAGGCAACGCCAGGACACTGACCTCACAAAGGGAGAGGGGACACGTCAAGCAAGCCCGATTGCTGGTCCTTTTCACCAGATGTCGCCCCATCGGTCGTACCAGATGTAGGACAGGAAGGAGGATAAACTGTTAATCCTTTCATGGAACATTGTTAGAGGACTGGTAGACAAACTCAAAGATTACGAGTTGTGTCAGTTATTAGTAAATATGATGTTATATGTTAGAGTGAATGTTGCATAAGCAAATATGATAATTTTAATTTGATAGAGTACGAACAAATTATTCTTCCTAGGAAAGTATGCAGCGGAATTGTCATTTTTTACAAGTGAGATATGGCTGATAAAACACCGCTTTGTTTAATTGAAAATATTGAGGATTGCTTAACGTGGATAAAGATTGATATGAATTGTACAGAATAACATTATATATTCTTGTGTTTTGCTATATCCCACCAGAAAATAGCGTTTTTTACGACTATACATCTCTTCCAAGGTCTTGAAGATTCCTTCACTAAATACAGTATGTCCGGCGATGTATATATCGCAGGCGATTTAAACGCTCGAACTGGTAACAAAAATGATTTCATATGTAACGATGTTTTACTTGGTAGTGTTCTGGAATGAGTCTATAATAGACTACAAGGCTGATGAAACAATAGTTAAACGTAATAGCATGGATCACATTGTAAATACATTTGGTCTTAGACTCCTTGATTGATGCAAAGCTTCTGGTTTACGTATACTAAATGGCCGGGTACAGGAGATAAAGCAGGACGTTAAACCTTTTATAATGAAAACAGCCGAAGTCTCATTATTATTTATTGACAGGTGCTTCTAACATTTGTAATTATATAATTTTTTATCTGGAAAATTCAATACTTTTATCCTTTAAATTAGTTATTTTTCTACCAATATCTAACGTGCAACTTCCACCTCAATATTTAAATATTTAGATATTTAAATATGGGCGATCATTTTAGATCGAAATGCAACTCACTTAGATGGAATGAAGAAAACTCTAACCTTAATGTGGGTAAATTACCACACAATATAGAAAATGTTGAGAAGGAATTAGATGTTGAACTATCAAGTCAGTTGTTGGTAAACAAAGGTGTTATAAATATATGTAATATTATTAATAAATGCATTGTGCCTTATTGTGAGAAATGTAGTAGTGGTAGCGCAACTAGTGATAACTGTAATAGAAATGATCAAAATGTTGATAAGCCTTGGTTCACAGACGAATGTAAAACATTATTTGTCGAATATAAGAGAACATTAACAGTATTTAATGATGATAAATCTCATCACAACCATGAGGTTCTGACTAATTCCATATGGCGATATAAGCGCATGGAGTCTAGGCTCAAACAAAACTATAAAATACAAGAAGGTGATATACTCTTTTTTCAAAAAGATCAAAGCCAAAACAAGTTTATAAATTAGTTGCCAAGAAAAAAACCATATGTAATTCTACCGTAATAGGAAACGAAGATTTTGATCAGCATTTCAAGAACCTCATGGATGGTAAAGATGGCAATGTTTTAGAACCTGATGTAGATCAGGAAGCCATATATGATGAGCTTGATGCAGTAACTAGCAGAGATGAAATTTGGAAAGTCATTAGCAAATTGAAGCCAAATATGATCTGTAGCGAAGATTTCATTTTAAATGAAGTTTTTATCAAGTGTAAGGATATACTGTTGCCTTGCTTGGAGGTCTTTTCAATGCTATTTATAGTTCTGGTTTTACCCCAGAGTCTTGGTCTCATTCTTGCATTGTGCCTATATATAAAAATGCGATATTAATAATTATCGAGGAATTTCACTGGTCCGTTGTTTAGGAAAATTTTTTACCAATATTTTAAATAATAGGATTTTGAAATGGGAATTCAGTATTGTATTTTAACAGATACACAGTTCACATTTAGAAATGGAATGTGTACTGATGATGTCATTTCTGTTTTACAGTCATTAATTAATAGATCATTAAGAAAAAAGAAAAGATTATACTGTTGTTTCATTGATTTTCGTAAAGTGTTCGATTATGTAGACATGTCTAAGTTATAGGGAAAATAATTAATTATGGTATTCGTGGTAAATTTCTGAAAATATTATACTCATTGTATAAAAATGTTAAGTTATGCTTTAAAAACAATGGATGTTATAGCCAGTTCTTCCCTAATAAGTGGGGCCTCTTACGAGGGGAAATTTTATCGCCGATCGCCTATATGTAAATTACTTTGAGATTAATTTCATAAGTAATAACTGTCCTAATATTGAATTACAAATGATCAGTGTTTTTATTTTAATGTATGCGGACGATACGGTAATGTATGCGGACGATACGGTAATGTATGCGGGCGGACGATACGGTAATGTATGCGGACGATACGGTAATGTATGCGGACGATACGGTAATGTATGCGGACGATACGGTCTTATTTGCCGAAACTCTAGAAGGATTCAAGTCAATGTTAAATAGTCTAAGTGGGTAAAGCAAAAAATGGAATACAGACAAAACCAACATAGCAGTATTTTTAAGTGATTGGGAATTGAAGAAAAAAACAAAAAAAAAAAAAAAACAATGAAAGATGGACTAATGTTAACCAGCAACAAGTCGTCGATGAATTTCAATATTTAGGTATTCTATTGAAATATAACGGTAAATTCGCAAACACTCCGAACCATCTAGCAGAACAAGGTAGAAAATCATTGTATTCATTAATGTCCTCATTAAGAATTTACTCTTTAAATCCAGAAACGCTATCTTCGGTTTTTGATAAATATATTAGTAGTATTCTTCCTTACAGAGCAGAAATTTGGGGTTTCCATAAGGTTTCTAATCTAGTAAAAGAACATTTGACATTCTGTAAGACAATTCAAGAGAAAGTACAATTAACGATTCAGTGTATATTGAACTAGGGAGATTACCATGATTAGTAACTAGAAAATTCAGAATATTTAAATATTGGTTGAAAATTAGGAGTACCAAAAATTGCAACTTGAAAGCATGTTTTGACGAATGTGTCAGTGAAAATGATGTTTGCATGATTAATATAAAACAAGAGTTGTCAATGCAAGGTCTTGAATGTTTATTCGAAAATAATATACCTACTAATGTTGCATATAATAAATAAAACAGATTATAAGATAACAAACAAGAACTATTAAGTAGAATTAAAATCTCTTCTGAAGGATATCTATACCAACACCTTACTGATAACTTTAATTTGAAATATTATTTATGTAAGTCAATTGAAACGAAATACACACGTTTAATTACAAAGTTTAGACTATCTGCACATAATCTTGATATAGAAACTGGGCGTCGTAGAAATATTGGAAGAATTAGATTGTGCATAAGATGTAATGGAGAAGATGAAGCTATAGAAGATGAAATTAATTTTATTTTAAATTTTCCACATTATAAAGAATTAAGGAGAATATATATATAAAATAGTTTTAACACAGACGTCCAAGTGTTTTCAAATTAATCAAACTTTTGAGTGTGAATAATGTGAAGGAATTTTGTGATTTGGGAAAATATCTGTTTTATGAAAAAAAAAAAAAAAACAACAACAAAAAACCTCCAAAATCTCTAATACTGCCAACTCTTTTTTTTCTATATTTATGTTTGTATATATGTTATGTGTTCAGCTCTCCTGAATATTTATGTGTGTGTACGGGTGTGTGAGTGTGTGTGTATGTGTGTCTGCGTGGGTGTGAGTGTGAGGGTGGATGTGCGTATGAGTGTATGCTACATGCATGTATTATATATTTTATGTATATGTACTACTTTTGTGCCTATGAGTCGTAAGGCTCGCGGCTAATAAAGAACAAAATAAATATTACAAGAACCTCATATTTCAGCTTGTCTGTTGGTAAAAAGATTGCACGTTTTTTAGAATGTAAAGCGATTTAGAACTTCGGTTCGTCTAATAGTAGGGGCACTGCTGTGTTGTTTTTATTGATGTTAATCTACCGAAGTTTGATTCAGACAGAGAAGAGCGGGTCATGTTTGTTGACTTTAGATATTTTGATAGTTTAGAATAATTAACGTGTACGCACCTGATGTTGATGGGGAGCGTCGGTGATTTTTTATAATATTATGCATCTTTTCGTGTAGAAGACCTGTTATTTTGGATGCGATTTTAACTGTATTGAGAATATTCCCCTTGATAAGATTGGTGGTAATCCCAATCGTGGTCTTCCCGGCGGTGTGTCGTTAAGAAGCCTTTGTCGTGATTTAAGATCATTCGATACTTTTCGATCTCTTTTCTCTGATGTCGTTTCTACTACTTAGCATGGTAACGGTAGTTGAGATCGTTTTTATGTTTCATGTTTTTTGAAAGAACATCTATTGGAAAAGAAGGTTCTCCCATCTGGTGGTTCAGATCATAATTTGGTATTTCTGAAAATTAAACTATTTTCGGAGGCCCTTTTACTGGAAATTAAATAGCAGTATTTTGAGCGATCGGGCTTTTCAAATTGTCTTTAACGATATTTGGCTTGACTTAGTTGATAATAATCCTATTTCTCTAGACCATTGGGATGATTGTAAATCTGTTATCAAATATTTTATTATTGAATATTGTAACGTAAGGTTACAATTAAACGTACTGTTTTAAATCTTTACAAGATAAGTACAGTAAGTTGTATACTTCAGAAAAACAGTCGCCTGGCCACGTTATTGATCAAGTTCACACTATAAAGACACCATTACTTGATTTTCACATTGCAAGTTTCAAGGGCTCTATTATTTAATCCAGAGCACAGCTCTTAGATTTTTCTGAAAGGCCTAAAGGTCATTTTTTAAAATTGAAAGTGAAAAGTGTAAATTCATTGAGAAAATTAATCTATCCGCTGTATTAAAAAATTAGGACAAAAAGTTGGTACTTCTGATTCTGTGGTCTGCTACTTCCTTAAACAATGTTACTCTGCTTATCAAGACTACTCGCCTCCCTAGAACCACCTTCTCTGATTACTGGTGTACTACTCACATATTTGGTACTGATTTATTTATTTGGTAAAACACAATATTAAGATACATACAAACATGTAAAGTAACAATTTTGTTGAACCAGGATAACACAGTAAAGTCCGAAGGCTTATTTCCGCTGTGGTCCCTTTCCATAAAAAACGTTACAATACAACATAAAATACAGTGACCTTACATAATACAAAATGCACAAATATTATTGATATAAAATATATATTTTGTAAAGAACCTAAAACTATTTAAACTAAAAGTTTGGCAGGAATATCATTGTATCACAGAAATATGTATCCATTTATGAGGTATTTTGTAAAAAAATCTCGAACAGCTTTTTTAAAACTTTGTTTCCCGCTAGACAAACGTATTTCCACGGGAAGAGAGTTTCAGGCCTTTACTCCGTTAAATAAAACGTTTTTGAAATTTGACCTTTACAAGAAGGCTCAACAAAATTCAGACTAGAATTCCTTGTACTATAATAGTGTTGGTCACAAACTTTTGTAAATCTGGACAAAATGTAACTAGGACATGTTCCATGGAATACATTGTACATATGATTGAGACATAATTGTTTTGCTCTATTTTCCACGTTTAAGATATTTAACTGTGATAACACATTTTTATTTATACTATCTCTAAGACTAAGGTTACAAATAAAACGCACACACCTATTTTGTGCAACTTGTAGCTGTTGTTTCATTTTTTGGCTCAGACCGTGGTACCAGGCTGTACAACAATAATCAAAGTGACACAGAACAAGAGAATTACAAAGTGTTTTCCTAATACTCAATGGGAGATCTTTACATTGCCTATAAATGAAGTGGAGTCTAGAATTAACTTTCTTTATTATGTTATCAACAATATGTTCACCTGTTAAGCACTTATCTATATCGATACCGAGATAGCGCACTCGATCTGATGTTTGAATAGGTTCGTCATTAATAGTTACTTCAAAAGAGTCTATTTTGCTAAGTTTTTGCTTTGTACCAAAAAGAATGACTTCTGTTTTTCCAAGGTGAAAAGACAATTTATTATTTACTAGCCAAGTGTGACAATTAGATTACTCCTCCGATAGTTTTGCCTTGATACGTGAGGATGAACTTATAGTAAATCTTCCAGTGTGATCATTACGCCATATTTAATCTTATTTTATCTGTTAATTCAACTTTCTATAGTTACTCTGTTTAATCAGGAAACATCTACATTGTCCATCCTACATTGTAGGGATATGTGCGCCTTACCGGGGCTACTGGTTTTGCACATCAGTGTCTGTCGTCATAAGAGTTTGTCCTATGTCGTTTTTACCTGTATATTGGTAAATAATAATAATATAAAACTAAAAAAAATATGTCAAAATTGGACAGCATATCGAAACGGGTTATTTTGATATACAATTTAGATTTTACCCGATATTTCTACGCTAGATCAGATACTAAATTTAAAGAAATAACAAGGATTAGAATGGTCTGTTATTAATTTGCGAGTGATTGGAACATAAATAACTGCATATTTACTTATCACCTTTTCACGATAAAATGAACTTTTTTATATTTCATTTAATAAAATTTCTCCAGCCAGTAACAAAGAATTAAGACAAGAATGTGCTTTTGTAAGGTTGATACATAATTCATAGAAAACGTTTGTACATAATGAAAGAGTCGTTTTATACTGTAAACGGGCTTAAACACACGCAA